AAAAAAAATTTGAACAAAGTAATCTTGATCAAAATTCCCTTAAAACAGTATGGTTATTGCATTTTATGGAATTGAAGAACAGGCAAAATAATCTACAGTGAGAGAAATCAGAAAGTGTTTGCTTGCTTTAGAATATAGAAAAATTGACTGGAAAAGGGCACACAGAAAATTTGTTTGATAATGAAAATATTATCTATGTTGTTTTGAGTGTTGGTTACTCAGTGGAAACACTTTTTAAATGGAACACCTTAGATCGGTACATTTCATTGTATGTTCATTATATCTAAAAATGTTTTAAAAGGTTTTGGTAGCAATGAGGTAATGGTTAAGAATTCTAGCTTTGACAACAAATAGACCAGGCTTTCAATACTAATTCTGCTATGTATTGTCAGATTTTAGACAAGTTAATTAACCTCTGCACCTCACATTTTTGATGTGTAAAATGAAGCCAAACACTTATGGATTTTGTGAGGAATCAGTGAATAGTGTATATAATGGTCTGAGGATGGTATTTTATCAAATAATAGGTATTTAATCAATAGGAATTATACTATTTTAATGAAGTCCTTACAATTCTTTATTCAAACACATTGTATGTCTTATATCTCCTACAGTTTTTAAATTTTCCTGCTCAGGCTATCTATTTGGAGAACACTCATGAATCTTTCACGGCTTCGGATTTGCTTTTGTTCTTTTCATTGCTACAATCAGCATCACAGAACTTCACACCCCACATTTAAGCAGAAGCGAGTAATCAGTTATTTGAATCATCTATGACCAATAGGATTTTTAAACAATGCAACAATAATACCTTATTGCATTCGAAATGCCACATTAATATCCCTATGTGACTAACAATAGATTAGATCAATGTCCCTTTGTGACTAACAATAGATTAGATTAATGTCCCTATGTGACTAACAATAGATGCAGATAGGACTTGCAGCAGATTATTCTCTGTAGTCTTATATATAGCAAAATGCTGGACATACAATGAGCGCTTAATAAAAGATGTTTCATAAGCAAGTGATTTTAAAGTTTTTGAAAATCATAACTGATTTAATTACTCATTTATGAATATTTACACCAAATCTAACAGCTATAGAGAAGTGAAAGATAGGCAGTTTTGCTGCTTATCTTATACTTTAATTCAATAGCTCCTTTCTGACCACCCAAAGTGAGCTGAGGATCCAAGAATGAGCAAAACAAGGCTCAAATCTACTCCTGGTTCAGCAATTTTCCTACTCCTATTACTCTATCCTTAGTTATTCTGTCCCTAATTATTTTTTACACTTCTGTTACATATTGATGTAAGTAACTAAAAATCCTTTCTGGTTACAGAAGCTTTTGTGTCTCTTTTTTTCCCCCCTTGTGTTTTGTTTTGTTTTGTTTTTAAGATGGGGGTCTTGCTATGTTGCTCAGGATGGTCTCAAACTCCTGGGCTCAAGGGATCCTCCTGCTTCAGCCTCCTAAAAAGCTGATCCTTTCTAATTAGAGGACAAACAGAGGCCAACATTCCATATATGTTTTTAATTTGTGTCCCTTTTGTTTCCTACTCAGCTTCAAAATTCAAGGAAAGGGAATTTTGATAATACTTTGCTCAAAAATGCTGAAGAAGAACATATACATGTAAGAATAATGGAGGCTTCAGGAAGCTACAGGATTTCACAGGAGAGATATTTGGGGAGACCTATTTAAGACTTGTGGTCTAAATGTCCCACTAGACTCATGGTAGTATTGAGTTCGGCTGCTATTAAGGCGGTCAGCTTTCCTAAAGGGCCTATACATCCTTTGGTCTCTCAGGTGTATTTGATGTTGGGGATAAGTAAATTTTAAGTAGCTAGGGAGAGCCCCTGAAGAAACCTGAGTTTGAGAGCACTGATTGTCTAAAATAGGCATATATATTTTCCAGGAAGGATAAACTTCATTTACCCACCTTTACCAGCTCCTCCAGAGTCACTGGAAACAATCCCCAATTTTTTCCTGCTACTTCCAGAATGTTACCAAGGAGAGGCAAAGGTGCTGATATATAACTTGTTTATATTCATTTCTCATTACACCTACATATTTTTTTTCTCCTGCATAATTCCTAATCCTTTCTTTCTGGTTTCTGTGTTGCCTATTGGCATATACTGGGGCTCTTTTCATAGAATGGATTTGGTGGGAGTTGACATTGTGTGTCAGTGCTGTTCATTTAGTTCCAAAATCATTAAAAACAACCAGGTCCTACTGGTAGCCATTTATTGTATGAGATTACCCACAGCATGCTGGAGTAAAGGTCAAACCTGTCATATTTCTGAAAAACAAAAAGAAATGGTTAGTGGGAGAACTTAATCTCTGATGAGTTTATACATTTGAATTAGAATAAAAAAAATTGTATGCTTTAGTGGGGGTAGAAAAGTCTTAGAATGAAAAATCAACAACTTACCCAAAGCCACACAAAGCCAGTAACACCAATATGGCAGAGTTCTTAACAGGGGATCTTGAAGTTATACCTTTAGAATTGGTCCCTTCCAGTGTTTCTAACCCCCCATGACACCAGAAAATCCTATATGAATCTGGGGCTGGGATATTAACCCAAGGGAAAGACTTAAAAACATAAAGCATGGTAGTATCCATTTCTGCAAAACCGCTCTCTGTATGTCAGGCTGTGTACCCAGCAGTGAATAGCCTTTTCTGGATATACACAAGGTAACATACAGTAGTACCCCTTAACCCCAGGGCATATATTCGAAGACTCCCATGGATGCCTGAGACCAAAAAAAGTACTGTACCTTATATGTACCATGTTTTTTTGATCTGATAACTGAGACAGCTACTCAGTGACTAACAAGTAGATAGCATATATACAATATGGATACACTGGACAAAGGGATGACTCATGTCCCAGGTGAGATGAAAGGAATAGATTTAATTACGCTACTCACAATGGTGTAACTTTAAACTTTATAAATTGTTTATTTCTCAAATTTTCCATTTAATATTTTCAGGCTGAAGTAGAACATGAGTAACCGAAGCCATGGAATATGAAACTACAGATAAGGGAGGACTACTGTATATTCCACTTGCTCATTAGTCACTTAGTAGCTATCTTGATTATCAAATTGATTGTCCTCATCATGGTGCTTGTGTTCAAGTAACCCTTATTTTACTTAATAATGGCCCCAAAGAGCAAGAATAGTAATGCTGGCAATTCAGATATGCTAAACAGAAGCTGTAAAGCCTTTCCTTTATGGAAAAAATGTGAAAGATCTAGAAATATGGAAAGAGAAAAATAACCGTATGCTGAGGTTGCTAAGATCTGTGGTAAGAACAAATCTTCTATCCATGAAATTTTGAAGAAAAAAAAAACATACATAGTATATATAAGATACGGTACTATCCACAGTTTTAGGCATCTACTGAGAGTCTTGGAACGTATCCCCTGTGGATAAGGAGGAAATTTGTAGGCACTCTGAAAAAACCGATTGCCTTTGAAAATAAGTGTTTCCTGGGAAATAACAACAGCCTTTTGATGGCCTGAAAATCACTGAAGCTAAACTCCCCAATTCTTCTTTCATTATTTAAGACATAATATCATTGGGAATGTGTACATGCCTTTCTTTAGAGCCATAAATTACCAAATTTGAGGAATCCTGGCTAGGGGTATCTGAGGAGGAGTGGGGTATGTCCTTCATCGTTCTCGTCCGCCCCCTGGTGGCCCTTTTGTCACTATGAACTGCTGCCCTGGGCTGCAGAGCTGCTTCTAGTTAAACATCCTTGATATACAGTACTTTGTATATTTCCAGAAAACCATACAACTAAACAGAGATTCTCATTTTCAGCATGAAGTTGTATAGTGTTACCCAATAATGTTGATGCTTTATCTGTTAATATATCACTTATCTCATTTTTAAACTAATTTTTTTTCCATGAGTGGTTTTCTCAGAAATTTTCTGTTATTTTTCATCTATTTTTCCTATATATCAACTTTGGATTTGTTTATTCACACATTTTATCATTTTCTAGTGCATCTTTTGCTTTCCGTTTTTAAAATTTCTTTTTTCTGCTCTGCAACTGAAAAATAACTCTAAGAAATCCACTCTGTTCCCTCATCTGAGCCATTCCACAGGCAGTTTTCCCCATATTAAAAATGCCGTCTTCCCTCAATTTCTGGAATATCTCGATTTCTGTGATTTGTTTTCTTTTCTCCATACTCTTTGCCATCCCTTTTCTCTGCCTCTCTCTAATATGTCTGTGTTCAAAACAGACGTCAGGAGTTTCACTATAAACTCTCTTCTCCTGCAACCACCTGCACTCTCATATCTCTTTTTCATGAGTAGGCATATTGGGCTCCCAGCTCAGTTGTCTTCTGAATCCCAAGCCATCATCCAAGAGCGCCCACAGGGCATCTCTCTTTGGCAGTCCCGAAGTACCGCAAACACCCTGCGTCTCAGTCAGTACTCCTCATCTCTTTCACCCTGTGCTTCCCACTGTGTCCTCAAGAGAGTAAACTGCCCCAACTTTCCACTTTCCCAAGACAGTGACTTGTGTGCCTTCTCCATTTCTTTGACTCATATATTAAATTATAATACAGGTAGCAGTCTACTAAAACTCCTGAATCCGTATTACATAAATGCGCTTTTTTCATTCCCCACCTCATATCTGAGCTCAGACCACACCATCTCCCCCCGTCTTGGATACCTTCCATATTTCCAGTGGTCTAATCCTATTCTATACTGCAGTAAAGTGATTTTTCTAAAACATGGATCTGTTCCTGTCAATCCCCTGTGAAAACTCATCCATGTAAAGTCTGACTAGTCTGTGCTTGGGGACTGGACAGAGTGAGAAGAGATCTTGTGTCAGCCAGGACTCTGGTAGACGCCCCTATGCAATATCCACTTGTGGTGGTCGGGGGCGGGGAAGGGGCGGGATTGAGCCCCCTTCCCCCTCCTCCTTACTGCGGAAAGCTGCAGAGCGAGAGCAGCACTCACTTCCTATTCAGCATTCAGCCGAGAGGGAGCCTCCGAACAGCCTGAACAGCCACGTAGGCATTCTCTTCTCTCTGGAGGAAAAGGCCCAGCAGCTGTCCGAGGAAAAGACCACCAGCTGTCAGCAAAGGGACATGTCGCAGCTAAGTAAGAATCTGGGTGATTCGAGTCCTCCAGCGGAGGCCCCGAAGCCGCCTGTCTATAGCCGCCCTACGGTTCTGATGCGGGCCCCGCCCGCTTCCTCCCGGGCTCCGCCAGTCCCTTGGGATCCACCTCCAATTGACTTGCAGGCTTCATTGGCCGCTTGGCAGGCACCCCAGCCTGCCTGGGAGGCCCCTCAGGGCCAGCTGCCCACCCCGGTGGCTCCCATGCCCCAGCCTCCAGCCCTAGGGGGTCCGATGGTCCAGGCTCCCCCACTGGGGGGCCCGATGGGCAAGCCTCCTACTCCTGGAGTGCTAATGGTCCATCCTCCGCCTCCGGGAGCCCCGATAGCCCAGCCTCCGACTCCGGGAGTTCTGATGGTGCATCCTTCAGCTCCCGGAGCCCCTATGGCCCACCCTCCCCCTCCGGGGACCCCTATGGCCCACCCTCCACCTCCGGGAACCCCTATGCCCCATCCTCCTCCTCCGGGCACCCCAATGGCCCATCCTCCCCCTCCGGGCACCCCGATGGTGCATCCTCCCCCTCCGGGGACACCGATGGCGCATCCTCCCCCTCCGGGGACACCGATGGCTCATCCTCCCCCTCCGGGGACACCTATGGCCCAGCCGCCAGCTCCGGGAGTCCTGATGGCCCAGCCTCTGACTCCGGGAGTCCTGATGGTCCAGTCTCCTGCGGGAGCCACGATGGCCCAGCCTCCGCCTCCGGGAGCCGTGATGGCCCAGCCTCCACCTTCAGCAGCACCGATGGCCAAGCCTCCAGGTCCTGGAGTCCTGATGATTCATCCTCCAGGTTCGAGAGCTCCGATCACCCAGCCTGCAGCTTCAGGAGCACCGATAGTGCAACCGGCTGCCCCACCTGCGCAGCCTATGGCTTCTTGGGCCCCGCAGGGTCAACCACTGATCCTGCAAATCCAGTCTCAGGTTATAAGGGCTCCTCCGCACGTTCCCCAGGTCCCGCAGGCACCCCCTGCGCAGCTGGCCACACCCCCCGGCTGGCAGGCCACCTCGCCAGGGTGGCAGGCCACGCCGCAAGGCTGGCAGGCTACACCCCTGACCTGGCAGGCCACGCAGGTAACCTGGCAGGCGCCAGCAATTGCCTGGCAGGGGCCACCGCCCATGCGCCAGGGCCCCCCACCCATCCGCCCTGGCCCACCGCCCATTCGCCCTGGCCCACCACCGATGATCCGCCAGGCTCCACCTGTGATCCGCCAGGCACCACCTGTGATGCGCCAGGCACCACCTGTGATGCGCCAGGCACCACCGCTGATCCGCCAGGCACCGCCGCCCATCCGACCTGCCCCACAGGTCATGGCCACCCAGCCACCTCTCTGGCAGACCCTGCCACCCCCACCTCCTTTGCGGCAGGCCCCGCAGGCTAGGCTGCCGGCCCCGCAGGTGCAGGCGGCGCCGCAGGTGCCTACGGCTGCAGCTGCTACGCAGGTACCCGCGGCGCCGCCCGCTGGCCTGCAGGTGCCCCAGCCTGTGCTGCCGGCCCCGCTGTCTGTCCCACTGTCTGCCCCGCAGGCTGTGCACTGCCCCTCCATCATCTGGCAAGCTCCGAAAGGCCAGCCCCCAGTGCCACATGAGCTACCGACGTCGATGGAGTTCCAGGAGGTGCAGCCAACTCAGGCAGTAGCCTGGCAGGCCCCGAAGGCCCCCACTCATTTCTGGCAGCCCCTGCCTGCCCAGGAGGCCCAGAGGCAGGCTCCCCCCGTTGTCCAGCAGGAGCAGCCCTTTCGGGGAGCCCCGCCCTCCCAGAAAGTCCTGCAAACTCAGTTACCCGCCCAGCAGGCCCAGCCCTCGGGTCCGCAAGCAGAGCTGCCTGCGGTGCAGCACCAATCCTCCTGGCAAGGCCCCCCAGCAGTCTTTCAGGCCCAGCCCGGAGCCCCAGTAGACTCATCAAATTTTCCCCGGGGCTCCGCTAAATCACTGATGACTCCATCAGGAGAATCCAGGGCCTCTTCTATAGAACCCAGGGGCTCTTCTAAAGAACGTAGGACCTCTTCGAAGGAACGGAGGGCCCCTTCAAAGGACCGCATGATCTTTGCTGCCACCTTCTGTGCTCCCAGGGCAGTTTCAGCTACACGAGCACACCTGCCAACTGCCTGGAAAAACCTGCCTGCCACATCGGAGACCTTCACTGCCACCTCAAGGGTCTTTCCCTCTACCTCCCACTTTCAGCCTGCCTCTTCTAATGCCTTTCTAGGCCCCTCTGCCACCCCAGAGGCCCCGAGGTCACTGCCATTTCCTCTGCAGGATCCCTTTGCCTGTGCAGAGGCCCTGCCTGCAGGCCCATGGGTTCCACAGCCCAATGTGAATGCCTCAAAGGCATCCAAAGCAGTGCCCACCATCCTGATGGCTACAGCAGCTGCCCCCCAGGCAACTGCCACTGCTCCAGAAGCCTCAAAGACCTCCGTCGAGCCCCCACGCCGCTCTGGCAAAGCCACCAGGAAGAAGAAGCATCTGGAACCTGAAGAGGACAGCCGCAGCCATACATTGGCCTTTCATGACTGGCACGACCAAAGGTCCTGGGAGAATCTGAATCTGAGTGCCTGGGCAGTCCAAAGCCCTATCCAGGTCTTGGGTGACTGGGAGCACCCAAGCATTCCCCACGGCCTGAATGGCTGGGAGGGCCCTAGTACCTCTAGGATCCTGAGTGGCTGGGAGGGTCCCAGCACATCTTGGGCCCTGAGTGCCTGGGAGGGGCCAAGCACTTCCAGGGGCCCGGGTATCTCTGAAGGCCCAGGTGGCCCTCATACCTTATTTATCTCTGAGGTCCCCTGTCTCTCTCAGAGGTCCAGTGCCACCCAGGATGAGGTGGAGGCACAGCCATTGTCTCCCCTGGATGAGAGAGCAAATGCATTGGTGCAGTTTCTCTTGGTCAAGGACCAAACCAAAGTGCCAATCCAGCGCTCAGAGATGGTGAAAGTCATCATCCCAGAATATAAAGATGAGTGCTTAGATATTTTCAGCAGTGCCAACAGTAAGCTGGAGTGTGCCTTTGGTTATCAGTTGAAGGAAACTGATACCACAAACCACTCCTATATTATCATCAACAAGCTGGGGCATCCTAAAGGTGATTTGGTGACATCCTATTTAGATAAGCCCAAGCTAGGGCTCCTGATGGTAGTCTTGAGCCTTATTTTCATGAAGGGCAATTGTGTCAGGGAGGATCTGATCTTTAATTTTCTGTTCAAGTTAGGGTTGGATGTCCAGGAGACAAATGGTCTCTTCGGAAATGCAAAGAAGCTCATCACCGAAGTGTTTGTGAGGCACAAGTACCTAGAGTACAGGCAAATCCCCTGCACTGAGCCAGCAGAATATGAGTTCCTCTGGGGCCCTCGAGCATTCCTCGAAACCAGCAAGATGCTCGTCCTGAGGTTTCTGGCCAAGCTCCATAAGAAAGATCCACAGAGCTGGCCATTCCATTACTTCGAAGCGCTGGCAGAGTGTGAGTCTGACGATACAGATGAGGATGATTCTGATGCCGGTGACGATCCGGGCAGCCCCACCAACAGTCCCCCTCCCCATTAATAAGTGAAGCAGAGATCTTGTTCATTTGTTTTTCCTGGGGCCACTGATGGGGGAGGGAGTATTTTGTTTCTGGTGTTTATGTTCCAGTTCCACGTGTGTAAGTTTGGATTTTTCCATTTGGTTCCATATCTGCCAAAGTTTTGTACATTTTCATGTGGTGATGATTTCAACTGGCTACTGTTCTCTTTGGTATTTTGGCATTTGTATTTTTAAGTGAAATCTGTGATTCTCTGTTTTGTGTTATAATTGTTATGTTTTGGTATCAGAATTGTGCTGGCTTTGTGAAATGAATTGAGAAGCTATCCATCTCATTCTGATACTGATTATGTAGCATTGTAATTGGTTGTTCTTTGAACGTTAAAATGACTCATCAGTAAAACTGTCTACAGAAAAGTAAATATCTATATCTTTATCTATATATAAATATACTTTCAGCATAACATGGAAGTGTTTGTCTTTATTCTCATTTTCACTCTAGATGGTGGAAGCCAAGTTTTGCCACGCTTTCTGAGTAGACACACACCAAGACTACTCTCAGTGATAGTAAACACCACCAGGAGGAAACAATTTCCCAAGGAAAGTGCGCCATTCATCTTTACGATGATGCAGTGATTGTGGCAGGTGGTGAAGCATAAAATTTCCATTAATCCAAAAGTAAAACTTCACAAGTCAGTGAGGCCAAATCAAGAAGGGGTCATGTGCCTCGTCTGATTTAATCCTCGCAATAATCCTTCAAAATAGGCATTTTGCAGGCGAAGGTGTAAGGTTCAAGGAGATTAATTAAATCACATGTGAGTTAGTGCCAAGCCGGTAAAGTTGTAATTTAAAGCAGAAAATTTCCTTTAAGAGTATGTAGGGTAGGAGGGCCATCCACCTGTGGGATTGCAGATAACCGGGTTTGTTAGCCATGTGGAGAGACTAGCAAAAGGGGCATTTGTCAGTCATGTGGCTTGGGGAGGGAGGGGGACGTGGGGTGATTGCCCAGCAGTTTACATTTGTCTCCCTATAAAATATCCAGGCTTATATCAGGGAAAAGGAAAAAACAGGCTTCCTCCAACCCTGTGGATTGCAAGCAGTAGCGGCTAGGTTAGGGAAGGCGGTGGGAGGGGGATTCCTAACAACACGGAGACTTAAGGGAAGCTCAGGGGATGGGTGGGAGTAGGGTAGGGTTAACCCTAACATACAGAGTGGGTCAGCTTGCAATGAATGAGGCTACTAAATAGCTGTGGTCCGCCCTTGGGTATAGAGTCTGGTGTTGGAAGGAGGGAACTAGGTGCGAACTGGCCTGACTGGGGAAAAGATACTCGCTTACACACCAGGACGGTGTACACAAAATGATTTTCCTGAGGACATACTCTCCCCTAGAAGGTGAGCATCAGCCCTGCTTGCCACCCGTACTGTCCAGTCGGAATCTAGAAACCCGTATATATAGCTTCACCGGGTAAAGCCGAAGTCCCAGGGAGTTAAGACGCGGTGGTGGAATTCTCCTGCCACCTAGTGGCCGATCAGCTATGCTACCGCTGCTTCTGCGGCTTCGGCCCCTTCTGGGGGGTTTAACCTCACACCCCGGGATACGTAGGTTGTGGCTACTACTTGCTTCATACCTTTCACCCATAACCTTACCTATATCTGTACTCAAACATTCATTCCTCCCCGCTCTTTTATCATAGGCCTCCTTTTCAAATCCAATCCAAGCTTCCCTCATTGATTGCTGCCATAGGTCCTGCAATATTGACCCTTAGGAAGCTGACTAGGACAGGAACTCTCAAGGCGCGCAGTCTGTCCCCAGCATCTGCAGATCCGAGCTTTCAAGGGCAGTTAGTCCCACCGCAGGACCTGCCAGGCTCCAAGAGATCTGCAAGTAGTGCCAGTGGCTGGGTCCTCCGGAAACTCGGAGGGAAATTCCTGTAAATTCCTTGGGTCAGAGAGTCCTGCACATCTGCCTACAATCAGTCTTTAGTTATTTTGATGAGACGACAATAACAACAAATCTCCATTGAAGGAGACAGCAATATCCCAGGTGAGAACTACCCGCAAAGGAAGTTTAGCTGCACAACAAAGTAGCACATGGGGTCTTGTATTTCTTGTTGTTTGTTTTTAGTTTATTTATGATTGTTTGTATAGTTTTCTCCAAATCATTTACTGGTAGGGTACTTGAGCAAGATGCTCTTTGTGGGAAAAATTTGGAAAGTAGCATCATATGTATGACTTCAGTGTCATACTTAAGGTGTGATCTGGCCCTGCTCCGTGGTAGAAAGACTTACCTCCCATTTACAAAGCTCTCTCTCACACCTCTCATTTATCTCATATCTGATGTACCTCTAATGACCTTCTCCAAGTAATGCCAAGGGCTGAAGGCCTAAATTTGATTACTTTGTAATGAGATATAAATTACAACGATAATGAAATCCGTCTGTTACAAATAACTAGACTAAATCAGCCAAATGTGCAACCGAAAAGTTTAAGAAAGAATACCTAATATTGTGAAGTAGAATACAGAAATCAAAGACCCAGAATATAGGAAAATACAGGGGAAAAAGAAGTAGGAACAAAATCAAGATCCACTTATTTGAAAGTGCTAAAATGTAGAAGTAGTGCAAAGCTTTTTACTATAAAATGGACAAAAAATAAAACTGTTGTAAGTTAATAAGCAAAAGGTATCACATGACAAAAATGAAAGAAATATAAATGGCAAATAACGGTTGACACTGTTCCACCTCATTAATATTTAAAACCAGAAATACTACATCAGTATTTTAGTTTTCATTTTTTAAACTGGTATACAATAAAACAAAACCCCATGGAACATCCAATGTTAATGAGGTTGTTATGGAACTGGAACTGTTATACACAATGGATGATGACATAAATTACTACAATTAGCCTTGAAATCAATTCAGCCAACTACATCTTCAAGAAGTTTAAGCAAATCAATACTGTTTTACCTTGAAATTCCTCATATGGAAATATATGTAATAGGAATAATCTGCAGTGAAGGCAAAAACTTCTTCACAAAGAGAGCTGCTTATGGAATTGGAGATTTATCAGGATATGTGCACCCATCTTATTAATACAACCATACTAGTGTCAAGGTGGTACTGAGAGTTGCTGATGAAAAGACCACCCACAGGCTTCCTGAAAAAATGACATGCAGTTTGTTCCAACACATGGAAAATGGAATACTGAGTGTCCAAAATTATTTGCCTTAGAGCAGAGTGCTTCCAATTTGTGCCTGAAAAGTTTAAAGGTGAGTGTGTGCAAACTCCCACCAAAGCTATACAGTAATCTCAATATAAGCCCTTTCACATGAAGCCATATGATTCCTAGTGAAGAGAAACTACAAAATAATTCTCATACAGTGTACTGCTATGTAGGGTGTTCAGATATAAGCAAATTAATATTTTAGGATATTTACCTTAAAAAGATGATATGTATTTTGGAATAATTTTACTCCAAGTTATTCCTCCCAAGAGCAATAGAGAAAAGGGCCAGTTGCATGTCAAAGCCACACATAAACCAACCTTATCAGCAAACATGAGTTACCAATCATGGCCATAATTGATGAAGTACATGCCGGGTCCCTATGGACCCAGTAACACCCATTTTACTGGACATGCAGCCCATGTTATTCATTTGCCTTCAAAGTTATGGGCACAACCACAACTCGGCACCTTTGCACCAACTGTCATAACATAAGAAAGGATAAAGGATCATTCCTTGCACCCCTGCATGCAGCTGCCAAAACTGAAAACCTGGCAGTCTGATTAGCTGTCAGATTATACTAGTTTTGCCACCTTGTAAAGTCAGTGTTTTTTCTTCTCTGCAGCCCTATGGCCATTGTTTCCTGCCTGGACTTGCCAGCTTCCCTTTTCATGATCTCTGTCTTCAGGCCTGCCCCTTAATCACACCTGCACATTGGCAGCCCAGTGGTCCCCACACCACCATAGCATAGAAGTCTAAACCTCATAATGCCTTGCCCTGTTTAAAGTGTTTCATGGCTCCCACTGTTCCTCGGTGGAAGATGTAGCCATTCTCAGCTCACTTTCCTCATTGTGAGGGTCACGGAGCAGCCAGTTAGAGGTGGGTTTACCTAAACAGGAATTTACAAATGAGGACAGGGGTCCCTCTGCTGGACAGTTCTAAGAAGTCCTCAGATTCTGAATTGAAAACCTAGGCATGCCAACAAGAAGGATCCTAAAAGAAAGAAGCGCCTGGCATTTATGGCCCAAGCTACATTTTCTGTGTGCAAGAAATTTATTTCCTCCAAATCTCCCAGTGAGTTCCATTGTGAATTACACAAGGGGATTTACACAACATTACTGGCCCAAGAGTTCAATTCCCTAATCCTGAAGATTCTGAAAGTTACATCTACCCCTTTCTGTTTAAGAGATGGTGGCTATGGGGAGCCTCCTTCATTATCAGATTCTCCTATTTTTCTCAGTGACACTGAAGAAGTCATCCTGACTGTCTCAGCATGATGCCCTTCTCTATGCCAATGGCATGGCTCTGCAAGCTGCCAATTCACCTCTGAATGACACTCCCTTTCTGTGCTGTCTCTTCTTCAGGGTGAGTTCAGCTTGTGAACCACTATTAACAGAGGCATTGGTGGTAATCAATAAACCAGCAATCATGGCAGAAGCATTTTCTGAACCTCCAAGACCTCCTCAAGCAAGCTCTATAATGGCTCAGAACATTGCACTGGAATAGAGCTGGGTGGGACCTCAAAGCTGTTTAATGTGAACAGTGGCTTTGTTAGCTTCTGTGAGACAGCCTTAAGAATATTTTATCTTGAAATAATTATGGATTCACAGGAAGTTGGAAAGATTGTACAGGGCAGTCTCATGTCCCCTTAATCTCCTTTCTGCCAATGTTTATATCATATAGAGCTATAGTACAATATAAAAGACATGGACATCAGTACCATTTGTAATGCTAGCTCAATGCTTTCTTATCACACATGTGGGTAGTGTAACTGTGATTGCCAATAAGATACAAGACTATTCCACCACCATGAAGATTTCTCTCCCACTACCCACGGCCACATATTCCCCCTCCATCCCTAACTTTTGGAAATCACTACTCTGTTCTCCAACGCTGTAATCTTGTCACATAGTATAAATGAAGTAATACCTTTGAGACTGGCATCTTTTCACTCAGCATTATTCCCTTTATATCCATCCACACTGATGCATGTATCAATAGTTCATTCCTTTTTAATGCTAATAAAACATTTACTGATCGAGGAGCCAAGATGGCAGATGAGAAAAGCCACCAGTCAGAGTGTCTCTGCAAAAAAGACAAATTGTAGAAGAAAGTGAAAAAAATAAACTAGCAAAAAAACATAGATTGGGTGAGGGTCGGAAGGAAGGGTGCCTGAAACTACAGGAGACTCCACAGGAAGATGTTGCGGAGGATAACTGGAAGGAGAAAGGTCCCTGAG